CATGTGCTGTTGAGGTTAATTTCAGTAGTTGTGTGCTATAATGTATTTACAAAGTGTGAACAGGAGGCAACTTTAGAATAGGGAACCTGTTCAGGTCAATTAGAGTCAAACTACTAGCTTATTGGTTATGAACAAGACTTCACTTTAAAATAGCGAACATATTCTTAGATAGAAATACCTAATTAGAGTCAAACTACTAGCTTATTGGTTATGAACAAGACTTCACTTTAAAATAGGGAACATATTCTTAGATAGAAATACCTAATTAGAGTCAAACTACTAGCTTATTGGTTATGAACAAGACTTCACGTTCTTAGATAGAAATACCTAATTTTGAAGTATTTAGACACAATTAACACTTGTAGTTTCATGTATTCTAATTTCTTACATAAGAAGAGATCATATTTGTTAAGTGTTGTTATGGGAGGATTACTATTCTGTCATGTCTCGGAAGATTATTGTGTACGTTTATTCTTTAAATTAGTTTTGTCATGTCCCTTTGTCCTGTACCTTCTGTTTTATTTTGAAAAGTAATTCTCCCTCTCGTTTCAGGACTCCATGCTCCCCGCCCCTATGTGTCTCCTGCGTTTGTGATTGTTTACCCTGCCCTGATTGTTTCCACCTGTGCCCCTCACCTTGTGTATATATTGTTTTAGTCCCCACCTGTCCAGTGCCAGTTCGTTTCCTTCATGACTACATTCAAGCCTGCGCCATGTTCGAATTCCGTGTTCAAGCTCCTGATGATAGCAATTAGTTTTTCCTCGAAAGTGTGATTTTGTGTTTCCTGTTTTTGTTACTGTGTTAAGTCCAGTAAAGTCTTGAAACCTCCTGAGTCTGAGTTTGAATTCATGCCTCTGAGTTCACCCCTTGACATATTCTTGTGGTACCACTGCTTTATTAGGCCCATATTGAGCAGCGCATATTAAGACCAAAACTCATGTATAACAACTTCCTTACTTGCAATAGATAAGAACAAATTTGAGGGGTATTGAGGAAAAACTGTCAACTAATGGCCTATTACTTGTAGAATATGGTCATGTAGAATAAGGCATTAATAAGTGTTTTATAATGACTAATAAAGAGCCAATATACTGCTAATATGCATGTTAATTAACAACTAGTTGATGGTGAATTTGTGTACCTTAATATAAAGTGTTACCCTTATTTGTTATCCATAGTATTTTTGTCATTTCTCTGTGGTGTCGTGTATGCGGGGTCCTGGTTCCAGATTCACTCTGCGAGACCAGAAATGTTCTTTGGCTCACTGAGTTGCACCTGTCTTGTTTAAAGTGGACCTATCATGCTATATTTGAATAATATATTGTAGGGCCATACCTATATAAAACATGTCTGTGAAGTTTTTTTTTCAAAATACCAAACAGATCATCCATTTTAGCCATGCCTCATTTCGTTCTATTTGCTGTATTCCAGCCCTGTTTTTGCAAGGGCTGATCCTGTGGCAAATGAGCTGCAGCTGACCACGCCCCCCTGCAAAGGAGGGGGGCGAGGCACGAGCGTAATGTTACCATGCTGTTACCATGCTGTTACCATGCCACGCATCCTCTCATTCCCCTGATAGGTGGAGAGTTGCCCATATAGGCGGAGCTCCTTGTTTCTGACGTCAGAGAATGTTCAAATCTGTATCAGTCTGTATCAGATCCGTTGCAGCCCCGTTTTTAGAGATTTGGGTATGGAGGAAAAGAGAGAGGGTTGTGTTTTCTGACACTTGGTGAGTTCCCTGACACACCGGGGACACATATTCATGTATAAAAGGGGATCTATCATGCATGATAGATCCCCTTTTATGAAACAAAAAAAGTATATTTGAAACAGCACGGGATACAATCACATAGAAAGGTATTTTCAATGTGTCTAGAGCAGTTCCCAACCTGGGGGGCGCGCCCCTCTTGGAGGGGCGCCAAAGATCGCAGGGGGGGCGCCAGGCCTCAGATGATTTTCAAAAAAAATAAGCAATACATGATTGTCACTAAAAGCCTTGTCTCTACATTACAATAAAATATAAAAAATAATTGATTAATTAATTTTAATAAAAATTCAAGTTAGTATTAAAGGCATAAAAAGACAGAAATGTATAATTCTTTCTTTAATATAAATGTTTCTTCTGCCCGTAAAGTGTCCAAACCAGGCTTGTCTGGATAAGCGCATTTTTAAAACATAGTCATTGTCCATGCCGGTTTCAGTTGGATTATTCATCACAGTTGCTCCGATCAGATCGGTCTCCTCCATTTTGTAGATTATTTACGACTTTTGAATCCACATAAACACATCGGCAAAATCCGGCTTACTTTGAGCATGTGTTTTAAACAGTTTAATCCCTTTGTGAATTGTTTCCACTTGCGCCGTCCTTTAATTTCTTCATACAGCGGGAATCCAAATGAATGAATCCTGAGTCCAATAACTATCAAAGTCACTCCGATAGTGCTCCTTAATTACGCTTTCATCCTCCTTTAACAAAATACTTCACATTCTTTCCGTTTGTGACAGTAGTTGTAGCATTTTTGAGACTTTTATTCCAGAGCCAGAGGTGATCAGATTGTAATCCTGTATGTACGGTATATGTGAAACAGAATTTGGATCCTATAATAAAGTCTGGAAACACAGATGTTCTAATGGTTGCTGAATGCAACCCAGTAGATTCTAATCGCCAAAGACTAGTATTAACATTTGTATCATATTGTGCACGTGTCAATAAATGTTCATCCAGGCGGCTTGGTGGTTGTTGCAGGATACAGTTGATCAATAAATAGAAAAGGGATGTGACAGGGCTCTGCGTCATTTCCCACAGTAAAATCAAGTGTTAGATAGCGCTTTATCCAGTCTTTATGACCCCTCATTCATCCACTTGCCCAAGGACACATCGACATGTTGGGTGTTTCTCAATGTCGAGGACGCTTGCTCGTGTCTTCTCATGTCTTCCGAGTCACTTCCTTCAGAAGCTAGGCAAGAATCCTTCCTGGCATTCGGAAAACGAAGAGTGGAACAGGCTAGCAAGTGTGCAGGTGTGCATCATATGAGAGGCCCAGCCTTACATTTTCCGCCACAGATTTTGGGAAATTAGTCCGTGCGCAAAGCATTGTGGGGATTTTAAGACCTCAAAGAGTCTACACATGTGCAGCCTCGAAATGTCTCGCTACGAAGTACGCCGGGCTCGGTAGAATTCCAAGTATGCTGGACATTGGAACAGTCCTTCGGTGGCACTCGATGACGTAGTATGCTTGAAATAGTGGATCTGGGGCAGCCTTCCTCGACATTGAGAAACACCCGTTGTCTGCATTGGCTGGGAACGAAAGACGACCGCATTCCCTCGCAGCCACAGTCACTACACGTTTTAGCTATCATTTTCTGATGTAATCAATTCAATCAGTTGGTGTGTTTACATTGTCTCTCTACTTCATGTTCAGATATTTCATGGTCCAGTAATTTCTTCGTTAAACCAGTAGGAGGCACTTTACTCATTCGTTTGTGCCCAGTCAATTTCACAATTTCTTACCTGCTGAATAATCACATCTTTAATACAGTACTTAACATTCCCATACCTCACGCACACTCAGGTCAGACAGCTCCAATCTCCTGGCTGTTCCGCGGACAAAACTGGTCACCATGGGAAACCGTGCTTTCTCCTCCCTGGGTCCACATCTGTGGAATCAGCTTCCAGAGAACATACGGACCTCGGCATCACTCTCAGTTTTTAGGAAATGCCTCAAGACCCACCTGTTCCACACCGCATTTTACTGACTGTCCTTTACTTTATTTATTTATTTTATTTTAAACCTTTTATGCTCTTAACCTTTTATTTACATTTTTTATATTGCCATATTTTATCCAATATGCTCCTTTAGATATATGTTTACTTATTTTTCCTTATAGCTTTGTGAAGCACCTTGAGATGACGTTGTCTTTAAAGTGTGCTATATAAATCAAATGTATTATTATTATTATTACATGTAATACACATGTAAGACACTATAAATAAATCAGCTGTGTGTATTTAATATGAAATGCAGGCATGTAATTAAAGCACTCCGCTTGAAGGTTAATGAAAAACATTGCTTACTAGCTTTATTGCGTTTGTAAAGTCTAAACTGTGTACACCAGAGGGCCTTCCAAAGACTTTAAGGGGTTTCCAGCGAAAAAAATGATAAAACAAAATACAATATATCACACAAGACACGTGTAATCTCTAAAATAGAATAGCAAAATAATGTGAAAACAGTTAGAGATCCAGTCTAAGCAGAGTCCCTTAGAGGTAGGAAAGACACAAATATGAACTTAAATGCTACACCTGTCCACTAGAGACTCCCAGTGAGTTTGTGTCTGCTGTTGCCCCCTGATTTCCTCTTCTTCATCAGCTGCCTTCCAGCTCAGCTACTCCTCAATGGGCTCCCCAGCACATGAACATGAGTTTTCAGGAGGTGGGGGCTGCATGTTGCTTCAGGCATTGGATGCATAAGGAAACCTTAAACAGGACCTGGATAGTTAAAAGATGTGCTCTGAATCGTGAAAAATGTATTACAGGGTTCATACGGTCATTCAAAACCTGGAAAAGTCATGGAAATTCTAAATGCAAATTCCAGGCCCTGGAAAAGTTATGGAAAACAATATTTTTCCCAAAGTTTTGGAAAAGTTATGAAAATGTAACTAAAGTTGCATCAAAATCATTTATATTTTATCTAATCGCCGAAATAGTAATACTATAATGATAATAAATACTGTAAGTTATTTGTTTTAAAACATGTTTCATATGCAGACCTTATTTTCCTGTTCCATGTTATAATAAACCACACTGAAAAAAAAGGACATAGAGGTTCTTTGAATTTACACAAATAAAAACAGTAAATGCAACGGAATTAGTTCATGTTCTGTCTCTGAATGTGATTTAATTAAGCAGACTTCATTTATTACATTTATTTGTTAAATCTCTGTATTTAAATCGCTTTGACTGAACGTGATTTAATAGGCTACATGCACAATCACTTCCGCATTCTACTCATAGCGGCCGATTCATTTCCTGTTTGAAAATGACGACCTTCTACACCCGCTGCCTACAAGAGCTTCCGAAATTAAAAATGTCAGATGTTCATCGGATTTGCCGGACGACTAAAGCCCCAGCCAGCAAACTCGATAAAGGCTTCAAATTATATGCTGCGTCATATATACACAACTATGAAGGTAAGAAGGTAACCGGTACTAACCAGCTAGCTTATGCTCCGGGTTACGCTAACATTAGCTGTCAAAAGCTAGGTAACGCCAGAGCCCTATAGTATAACTACTATTATTATTATTATTATTATACTACTACTATAGTAGACTACTATAGGGCTCTGGGTAACGCTATGTACTGTTTCTGGTGTTAATTCTTTAAAACATTAGCCATTTTGCTAACAAATACTATCGTTTAATAGCCTTATAGCCTAGCCAAGGTTATCTTGTTGTTAGCCACACTGCATAATGGTATCAGCTTTTGTAAAGCAATGTTGCCATAGATGTGTTGACGTGAGTATAGATCTAACGCTGTTGCTCTGTTTTTCTTCATTCAGTGTCCAATAAAGACAGGCTGACAGGGCAGGTCAGCGTGAGAGCCTTGTGCTACAGGTCAATGCGGAAGAGCGAGACAGCACACAGTTTGAGTGTAGGCAGGCAGCATTGACACTGTTCCCCCCTGTTTATTGAGTTTCAGTTCAGTTAAACATTAGTTTACCTTAAGGGAATCTCAACAGTGTCCTACTTCTCCCTGCTTTATCACAGCTGATTGGTCAGATATTATTACATTGATTATGGATGTGTAAGTTTGGGGGTTCAAATATATAGTAAAAACTGCTTTAATACAATTTTCAAGGCATCTTAGTTTCCAAAGAAAGTTCATTGTGGTATTGTAGGGTAAGAGGGTAACACTAAGCATTCAGGAATACATGCTTCTTCTAGGATAATGGGTCAGTAAAAATAACCAATAATTCTACTCATAATAACCTCCTGGCTCATAGTAACAAGTGAGGTTACTAATCACTAGTATTTCTTCTCTCTTTTTTAGATAACGCTTCGTGATTCATCACCAGTGGTGCTCACGCACAACCAGTGCTCCTGTGTTGCAGGAACTGTTTTGTGCAATCACACAGTAGCATTGCTGTTCCAAACAGCACACTACACTGAACTGAACATGCCAGTTGTGCCACCTGTGCATAGCTGTACTGAATCGGAACAGCAATGGCACAAGCCGCGAACAATGGTAATTTCAATGAGGTTCAAATACTTGTAATCTTTCACAGAGTTTTTGTTTTAAAGTGACTCAACGAACAGTAATTGTCTTTTCCTTAAGGGTGTGAAGCCAGGGCCCATCAACTCCATGGTCTTCACCAAGCCTGTACCAAATAGGATGGTGCAGACTGGAGTAAGGTCATTTTAGCTGGAAAATTGTGTTTCCTGTGTTTTTAAAATTCATAATTCTGGTGCTGTATTCCTAACCTTTATTGTCACATTAATGTGCTATATTGTCTTTGCCAATCTTTGTAGGAGTGGATTCTACAGAGGCATGGTGGGGCCATTACCAGATCCCTGCCTGTTCAGAGTTACGGAGGCATACTCAGCATTCAGCATTGAAGACAGGCCGCTTGTGACCACAATGAACATGAGACCTGACAAGCCCCTTGTGGAAAGTGCCTTCGGGATTGTGCAGGAGGGCAGTGTTCTGTCCTATCAGATGCCTGCTTTGACGTCTCGGTACACCACACTTCACACTGACACACCACCAACACCCCACTTGCCCATAGAGGGGTATGTGATCTTGCCATGTGATTTACCGCTGGTGTGCTCAGAAGAGGAGCAACTACATATGAACAGCTTGTCTGTTGATTTGGAAATGTCTCACAAAATTGAGGAGGCTACCCGTGAGCAAAGCTCTAGCTCAGAGTGGCATCTGCTCCGCAAACCCAGGGTTACTGCCTCTAGGTTTAGAGAGATTTGTCACGTCAGAGGTGAGAGCTCTGCTAACTCTCTTGCAGAGCGAATACTCAAAGGTACAAGGCAGACTGCAGAAATGAGGAGAGGTGCCGAGATGGAGCCCACAGTAGCAGCTGAATACAGTAGACTGGCAAACGTGAACTACTCCCCTTGTGGCCTTGTCATTCACCCCTCTACGCCCTGGCTTGGTGCCTCCCCTGATGGAGTTGTTTTTGACCCAACAGAATATCCCCATAATCCCAAATTATGTCGACTGCAAATATGTGCAGATGGAATGTGGCTCCCCTAAGCTCAAGAAAAGCCATGCCTACAAGTACAGGGTCAACTTCTTGTATCTGGGATGCAGTGGTGTGATTTTGTAGTGTGGGCACAAGAGGACTACCTGGTGCAAAGAATATACACAGATCCAGAAGTGCAAAGAGCAATCAGAGAAAAAGTAGACTTTTTTTTTTTTTTACACATACATGCCGAAGTACCTGTCATTAAAAACGTAGTGGGCACTGTAGCCATTGTTAACTCTGTAAGCAGTTAGCTGCTAGACCCTGGCTCAGCCGTCATTGTTTTTAGGAGGCAATCCCTCAATCATGTGTTCTGAATGACAACAAAATGTGATTTCAATCTTTTGTTTTTGATATATATTGTTTGTCACATTTCATATATGTAAATAAATATACAATTGTATTTAAAAAGACAATAAAGTGAAGTGATTTGTGTAATGAATAGTAAATCATTGCATTTGTAAGAAATCATCAACGCATTGTAATTTGCTATTTACCATTTATTCAAACAAAACACTAGCGTGTGTCAGGCAACACGGGATTACGGTGTGCTCACCCAGCTTAATCACAGCTACCTGCACAGGTGTCATCAGCTTGTCTTATTTCACCCATTTCTTGACCAGTGCTTTGTTCTGATAGTTTGACAGCATACATGCTACTGCAAACAGTTGGTTGATGTTGTAGGCATGGGACAGGAGGATGACACCATCAAAAAGTTTGTTCTCTTTTATCCTCCTAATGACACGCTCCACATGAACCCTCAGTCTGGCAATGGCCTGTGTCTCCCTCACCTGATAGGCTGGCATTTGCTTCTGCTTTGACAGAAAAGGTGGGCAGTACACCTTGCATTTGCAGCAATCGCTGATCAGGAAGCCCTTATCTACCATCACTGCCATGTTTTCAGTCAACAACGCAGCTATTCCAGATTGTTTGAAAATCTCCTTGTCGCTGACAGAACCACCATACAGACTGGAAACAAATGTCACTGCGCCATGTGGGGCTATGCCAACCAGGGCTTTCATGGTGCAGTGAGATTTGTATGTAGAATACATTTCACTTTGGAGGAGGAGTGAGGATGGTGTTTGACACCTCAGCTCTGTGCAATCCAGGATCACCTGTGTGTCTGGGAAATCTTTGAATGCCTCTGGGAGGTGGGCTTGAACTTCTGCAGGTGTAAGCCAGATGCACTGTGACCCCAATAAAGTTGTAAGAAAACTCATCCATGTTGCAATGATGCGGCTCACAGTGGACTGGTGTACGTTGAAGCGGTTTGCAAGGTCCCTCTCTTTCAAACCCACCGACAGGAAGCAGAGAAAAAGGAAGAACTCGTCAATTGGCTGAAGCAGCTGTCTCTGGAAGATAAACAAAAAAAGGGTACTATATTAATGTCATGAGTGTAGCACACCATGGGAAAAACATGAAGTTGTTTTAGTTCTCTGATGTATTCAAAAAGGATTGAGTACTATAGCCTTTTAGCCTACACGAAAGCAATGAAATGTTGGAGAAACATTTTCTGTTTAGATTGTGTGTTAAAAGAAACGTAGCCTACCGTTGATGGACGTGCGTGTGTAACCACTTCTTCATTCCTCTTGGCAGCTGATATCGCTCTTGTAACACGAACCATTTTATAAATGGAAGGCTCAATCAAAAACCAGAAGGCCATCAGGTGGTTATCGCTCGGGAATCTGTACACAAAAGACACATGTCAGTCATTCATTGACTCGTTAACTGTAACACATGGGCTAATGCTTTCCTCTTGTTTGCTATAATACATTACAATTCAAATAGACTGATTAAGAAGGCACTTGGTGCAGGTATAGTAATATACAGCAGTAACATGTAACAACTACATTAAAGCAGCAGTAATAATAATCTAAAACATACAGGGAACATTTTACACAGAATGACTACTTTTACTCTTCATTCTTAAGTGTGCAACTGGGGGAAACGCAGTGGATATTGACATGTACTTTTACTTTGGTAAGGTTTTGAAGATTTCCACTTGTAGTAAAGTATTATCAGTATGTTGTTAGTATTAGTATGTTTTACTCCACCACATTTAGTTAACCTTCATAGTTTCTAGTTACTTATGAAAACACATGATTTATGATTCTACATGTTCAGTTCAGGAGTATTTTCAAACCATAGTATTTGTACTTATACTTCAGTTAAGTTGAGTAGCCTACTTATTCCAACACTGCATTCAAATAGTCAGCAGTCAAACGGCAGGTAAACAGGATTCTTTATAAGCTAACCCATCTCAAAAACTTGGATAGAATTTAGCCAAAACATTACCTGGTATAGAATCGGATGTTGTCGTCGGAGCCAGCAAACCGCTGTAAGCAAAACTCTCGCTGGACTCTTAACTCCTGCAGTTGCTTCTGCAGATCCTCCAATGTTTTGGAGTTGTCTTCTGTAGCTTGAGAGGACATGTCCAGTGAAGCTGGTTCAGGGGTTGAGCAGTAATCATGGTCACGGACATCGATGTGCTCTTCCTGCTCCTCCCGAGAGACTGGTTCAGTGGGCCGCTCCCTTCTCTCCCAAACACTAGCCCGCGGTGTTTGAGCAGTGAAGTGATTCCACTCAAACAGAGTTGGGACAGCACCTTTCACAAGCCTCCTACGGCCATCAAGGGTTTTTGGCTCTATTAGTTGATCCGTAGCGAAGTGACGACTGCAGACCTTGGAGTGAGAGGAGATTGTAAAGTTATCGCGTCGTATTTTAACCAGCCACTGTCTTCGCAGCTCGAGTTCGGTCGGAAAGCCATGGAAACTTAGGACGCCGTTGAATTTAGCTGACGCCGTACAAAGTGGGACACAGCAGTGCTCGGAGTAGTTCTTTACTTGTCTTTGCAAATGCTCCGTTTTGAAAATCTTCCGTCGACTCATATTTAAACCACAGATTTAAACAGTAAAACATTTGTGGACGCTCAGCTACGCAGACCAGAAGCAACCCGGAAGCGTCCGAGCAGTATAACGGCTAAGGCGGAAGTACGTCTCAGACCCTAGTGCATGTAGCCTATAGCTTGGTTTCAGTCACGTGACTTCTATGACGCGCGAAATTCAAGTGGAGGTCAGGAAGTGAAAACGCAATCATTCATCAACGCAGGAATCATGGAGGACACCGACTATGTCAAACAATTAAATGAACCTGCACGCCGCAGATATCGGGAAAAAATCACAGCACACATCGGATACGATCCATATCAGCTGAAAAAAAAACGACTTTTCTCGTGATTTATCCGATTTGCCCGCTGTTGAGGCGATGGATATCACCAGCTACCTCGTCCTTCATACCTCCTACTACACGGCTAGCCAGATGAAAGCGTATAAAAGCCTGGAAGCTTTCAATTACTTCGTGTGTGGATGGGTGAATGACCTCGGCACCAAAGAGGCATTAAACAAATGTCGCCTTGTTTTTGCCCGGGTGAGTGTTAACTACCTATACCTTCTTACCTCTAAGTAGCATTATTAGGAGACATCTAGCTAGCTAACTTTAGCTACATGGACTCATGTAAGGCAGTGTTACGGCTGTCGCCTTGCCTTCAGCATTAACTGGCCTGTGAGTGTGTTGTGTGTGTATATATGTGTATGTTTGTTATGTGTATGTGTTTAGCTTAGGATATATTGTGTTTTGTGTGTATATATGTGTATGTTTGTTATGTGTTTAGCTTAGGATATATTGTGTTTTGTGTGTATAGACAGCTCAGAGCCTTTGAACAGCCTGCACGTTGTTTATATCACTCTATGTTGAGGTTAATATTAAAAACAACCTCTTTACCAAGACCATCTGGTTATGTGTTGCTTGTGATGTTGTTAAATGTATGTTACCAACTCGCAAGTTGTGAACTGGAGCTTCAATTGTGTAGGTCAACCATTCCCAGAGGTCTGGAGAAACACCATTAAAAACGTGGATTGTAGCTAAAGAAGATGGAGAGGTTGTTACAGCACACTGTAACTGTATGGCTGGGTAAGTCATAAAATACATATCCCAACCCAAAGCATATTTGACACAACACTTAAGCTCAGACAAAATAATGCCTGCTATAATATTCATGTTATACCATTACTAGCTTTTACGATCAATCTAGTTATTCTAGTATGTCTCTGTCTATACAGTTTGTCAGAATCCTGCTCACATGTTGGAGCAGTTCTGTTTGCAATCGAAGCAGGTGTGAAGATGAGAGAGACTGCATCCTGCACCACTGAGAAGTGCAAGTGGCTAATGCCATCACATGTCAAAAAGGTATTCAGACCCCAGTGGTGAGTCAGCTGTTCATGCCGTCCTTGCCTGTCTCATTGTTACACTGCACCTACATGTATGTTCACATACATGTTGGTCTGTCTCTCACATGTGCAGATTCCTGCTGCTCCAGTTGCGATGATAGACTTTTCATCCGCAAAATCCAAAAAGCAAAAACTGGATGATGCCATTGCTGGAAGGACAGGTGAGAAGCACACATTTCAGCGTCCCACAGTCCAGGGTTCAAAATTGGAGCGAGGATCAGAGAGGTATATGCAGTTTTTCAAGACTTTGAGCAGAAATTCCCCAAGAAGTGCTGCACTGATGTCCAGGGAACCATATTACAGAGAATTTGTCCCTAAATCTGTGAGCAAGCTACCTAAACCACTACCTCAGTATAGGACACCAGAGATGCTACAGCTATCCCCAACAGAGTTGCAGAATGCATGCCAGGACTTCAGACAGGAAGAGCTGACACAGCCACAGGTCCAGGCAGTAGAGGAGGAGACCAGAAACCAGAGCTTATCAGCAATATGGTTTAGCCAAAGAGCAGGAAGGATCACAGCCTCAAGACTGAAGCAGGTTCTACAGACTAGTCTTGCACAGCCATCAAAGTCCTTGATCAAGTCCATATGCTACCCAGAGGCATACAAGTTCTCTACAGCTGCAACAAGGTATTTATTAGGGATTAGGGAGCCAATCAGAAAAGCAAACTGTATACAGTTTTTCTCAGACGCGGAGGGATACCGACTTGTTGTGAAAAGTAACTTACAATTCTACCCGTGGTATACGCTGATTAGATCACGTATATCAGTAAGTTACAGTACAAGTAACTTATAACTAAATTCATTATCATTACAAAACAAAATATTCAATGCATAAAAATACTGTGTGTGTGTGTGTGTGTGTGTGTGTGTGTGTGTGTGTGTGTGTGTGTGTGTGTGTGTGGTGTGTGTGTGTGTGTGTGTGTGTGTGTGTGTGTGTGTGTGTGTGTGTGTGTGTGCCCGAAAGCAGTATGAAGGAGTACAAAGTCTGCACCACCAGGGTTTCAGCTGTAAAGACAGCGGGCTTTGGCTGAACCCTCAATGGCCATACATGGGAGCGTCGCCAGACGGATGTGTCACGTGCACCTGCCATGGAACTGGTATCTGTGAGATAAAGGTAAGTTATTTGTTCAGTATTGTGCTACAGTAAAGCGGGTAAGTATAGGATTGTGACGTGATCCTGAGTCTGGGGATCCTCTCCCAATACATTTTGAGCTGCAGACACTTATTTACAGTACAATATATTACTTTTCTTTTCATTGAACTTTTAGTGCCCACACAGCAAACATGAGGAGGCCAATCTTCGCCTGTGTGCTGGAGAACAGGGCTTCTGTCTCGTCAACGATGGAGGCACTGTGAAGCTGGACAGGAGACATGCCTACTACCATCAAATACAGGCTCAGCTCCACCTCGTTGATGTTGACTACTGCGACTTTGTTGTCTGGACTAAAAATGACCTATTTGTAGAGAGAATTGTGCGTGATGTGGACCTGTGGGACAACATCATTCCCAGAGTTGAGCGTTTCTTCAGACTATGTGTTCTCCCTGAAGTGTTGGGACAGCAACTTACAAGGGGAAAGGTAAAAGTCATAAAGAGTTGGTGTGCTCATTTTTTTCCACAAGAACATGTTAGTGCATAACTATCAGGTGACTAAAAGCCTCCTCTCCCTGTCTGCTGTTCCATTTTTCAGTTTCAGTTGCAAGATGATCAGGAGGGAGAGAAGGCGTGATTACCAGCACCTGTGGTCTGTCCTGGTCCCGGAAGTTGTGGTTCTCTCCTTGTTGCATTATTATTACGTGCCGTAGTGGGTGCTGGTGTTTGGGTGTGTGTGGGTGTCTTTTTCTCTCTCCCTCTGATCTCCCCAGGTGCTCCCAATCTCCAATCAGCGCCTCCATATAGGACATGAGGAAGGTTGCAGTCGCTCTCCCCTTATCTTAAGCTTTGTTTGACAAGTTGGCTGGTGAGCCCTTTTTCGTTGTGTTAATTAAAAGACCACTTTATGGCGTCAGAGATCAGTTTCCTCTCCGCCGGTTATGTTGTGTGTCGCTACTTCCCTTTGTACCCCTATATTTACAAGGGAACGTAACATTTGCACAGTGGCAGCTCTTTAACCTGCATTACAGCACCTTCATATTCACTGACCACACTCACTAGAGGAAGTAGGGCTGTGTGATATATTGCTATTGTAAAAAAGATGTTTACTGAAAAGATTAAATGATACTAAGACTGAATAATACATGGTTTCTTATTTACATTTACAATAACCCTCAATGGCCATACATGGGAGCGTCACCAGACCAATTGTCATCTCTAGAATATTGTTGAATGAATTAAGCCTGAATGTAGATGAAAGTTGTATATTGAGTAGGGCTACACAATTTAACACAAAAAGATGTTTACTGAAAAGACTTGAACACAAGATGTTTGAACACAAACATATGTTTACTGAAAAGATGAAATGATACTGAATAATACATGGTTTCTTATTTACAAGACTACAGCTCCATGACTTTACTCCAATGGGACGACAGACACTGACAGATTAGACAAGGCACAGCAAATAACCCCAATCTTGTCAATTAATGCTAGTGCCTCACCTGGTTTTGTTAGCATGGGCTCTATGGGCACAGCTCTGCTTTGCAGAATCTGATATTTTCTTCTGACTAATCCTATGACTCTTTCAACATGAATACGCACATTAGCTATTTTTCTTGTCTCTTCTACCTCGTATGCTGACAGCTGACTTTTCCCCCTGGTGAATGCAGGCATCTTTAGTGAAGCACAGTAAAATCCCACACTATCGGCAATATCGAACCCACGGTCTGCTAGGACAATATCTCCAGGTAACAGGTTTAGGAGCCCACTCTGTATTGTGATCTGTTTATCACTAACTCTTCCTCCCCAGGCACAAGATATGTAGGTAACATAGCCTTGGGGAGCAACACCAATCAGAAATGTAACAGTATGGTGATGCTTGTAGTTGGACCATGTTTGTGCTCTAGCTAGTAAATTAGAGGGCCTCTCAATAAAAACTTCAAAACAGTCAACAATCACAGCAACTCTACATCCAAATGCCTGTCTGAATCCCATTGGCATTGTAGCTTGAAGTACATGTCGCTCTGGCCACTCAATTATAAATTCTGTACTCTCGTGAAGTATGTCAATTAACTTATGCCAAATTCTAGAAGCAGTGGAGAGAGAGATGTTGAACCTGAAAGCCAAATCTTTCAGAGGGAGATTTAGTCTCAGCCTCAGCAAAACTAAAATGAACTGTTCAAAGGTGATGTAGGGCTCGCACAGTTGAAAAACCTGAAGTAAAACTAAGAAGTTGGGGAGCCCGGTGTAAAACTTTGTTTTCTCTTCGTTGTTCTCAAAGGACTCCTGGTTGAACTTTGTGTCCAGTGCCTTTGTCCGAAGATCTCCCAGCTCTGTTGTGTTCTGTCTCAGAACATCCTCCATCCTCTCGATGTCCTCCATCGTTAAATCAGTCTGGCATCCTGCATCTGCATTCAATATAGCAGTAGCAAGCATAATTAGTTATTTAAAATAGTCAAATATGAATGTGAATTTTTGTGAAGTTATCTTTTTGACAACCTTTTTACAGACATGCAAGTTCTCTGTTCCAATTATTGCAGATTCTCAAATTAGTGCTCTATTTTCTAAACCTAATTCAAAGTTTGCATTGATTTTCTGACAATCACATTTGTAATATTTAATAATAATGCTGGTGGTTAATTGACCTTGTTGGTCATTTAATATCCCACTGGTGTCCTCTGGTTGTGGGCTGTCAGACGCGGGCTGCGTCGGTTCTGGGCTCTCGGTTGTCTGCAGGAGATCCAACAAAGCCTCTGCACATTCTGATTCTCTTTGTCGGTCTTCCTTGAGCTCCATCCTCTGCTCTCGTCGAAGAGATGCCTCTGATCTGGGCTTACTTGTTGTGTGGTAACCGAGGCTAACAGTGGGAGCCCAGTCTACCGACTCAACGTCACCCAAAGCGCTAGGGCACCCTAAAAAGTCCCAACAAAGTCCATATTAGACTACAGGTAACTTAAACATGATCAGTATTACTAAGTAAATACGCATTTAACCACAACCCAATAATACCTAAACAAAGCCACAAAAACCAAGTTAGCTAATACCTCTGATGAAGTGGTCGCTGCAGACCCGTGCATTAGACCAGCGGTCCCCAACCTTTTTTGCGCCACGGACCGTTTTAATGTCAGACAATATTTTCACGGACCGGCCTTTAAGGTGTGGCGGATACATAGCCTACACAAAATAAAATGATACAACCGGCATAAAAACTGGTATTTTCATAAATATAATATTAACGTGAATCCACTGTGTACTCGTATTCAACTTTATTATCAGCGACCTCGGAACATCGCACCAACAACATAACATGAGTAACATCCTCTCTGCCCCCTAACACTCTCTGGTCGCTATGGTAACGTTTAAACATGCCTTCAAAATAAGATACAACACAAAAACAAATATAAAGTGCATGAAAAATACAACTCACCATAACGCTAAATCAGTGGGAGCCCTGAGCTTGTTTCTCTGCAACGAGACGGTCCCATCTGGCGGTAATGGGAGACAATGACACCCGAAGTGTGTTGCTTATGTCCAGTCTACTCCGTAATTTTGTTTTGGTTGCTGTCACTGCAGAAAATCCCGCTTCACACAAATAGGATGTCGGAAATGGCAACAGGGTTTTCAGTGCTGTTGTGGCGATCTCAGGGTATTCTGCCGTGACTTTAATCCAGAACACCGGCAGAGTTGTTGTCTCGAACATACTTTTAAGGCCGCCGTCATTTGCGATCTCCAGCAGTTGATCTTCTTCTTGCATAGACATGCTTGATTCACCTGGTTTGTTGACAAATGGGTCGCGGATCCATTCCTTGGCAGTTCGTGGGTCTTTTGTGGTTGGGAAGTAGCGCTCGAACTCTTTTAAAAGCAAAGACAGGTGATCATGCACCATCTGGGAGAATGAAAGCTCGGGCTCAGTCTCTTCCAAAATCCCCGCGAATGTTTGAAACATGTCAAATATACCTCTGTTCACGCGCCGTCCCCACAAATCCAGTTTGGCTTTAAATGCAGCTACTTTATCTGCCAACTTGAAGACAGTTGTCATTTTCCCCTGAAGTGACAGATTGAGTTCATTGAGCAGGTTGAATATGTCGCACAAGTAAGCGAGTTTTGCGACCCATTCCTTGTCACTGAAATGTGCTGCCAGCGGTGACTTCTTTTCTGAGAGAAATCTCTGCAGCGGCTCTCGTAATTCAAACACTGGCCAGCGATCTCCCTCGGGATAACCATCTTATTTCTGTGTATAAGAGAAGGCGTCTGTGCTCCGCGTCCATCTCCTCACAAAGCTGCTCGAACAGGCGCGAGTTAAGGGCGTGTGCTTTGATGTGGTTAATAACTTTAACGACATCATTCAATACGCTGTTAAGTTCCGGTGGCATTTTTCGGCTAGCCAGCATTTCCCTGTGAATGACACAATGCGTAGACTCACATTCAGGTGCGACCTCCTTAATCCTAGTAGTTAAACCAGACAGCCGTCCGGTCATGGCAGCAGCTCCGTCTGTGCATATGCCGACACAAAAGGACCATTTCAGTTTTCCTGATATATAATCATCCAGCGACTTGAATAGTTCTGCGGCTGTGGTTTTGGTTGGCAACGATAGAGCACATAACATATCCTCATGCACATCCTCCTGATAAAGATATCGCACATAAACAAGTAGTATTGCCTTGTTGTCAATATCTGTAGACTCGTCAACCTGGAGTGCGTACCACGGTGATGTATTAATCCTCTCCAACAATTGTGTCTCAATGTCCTCTGCTATTTTCTCAATGCGCCGAGTGACGGTGCTAGCCGAAAGAGGCACCTGTGCTATCTTTTTAACCGCAGCCTCTCCTAGAAGTTCACGGCAAATGTCTTTAGTGGCGGGCAGGATCAATTCTTCACCAATGGTGAATGGCTTCTTAGCCTTAGCAATACGGTTAGCCACCAAGTATGATGCTCTCAGTACACTCGCATTTGTTGATGTGGCGGCCCTCAGGAATTGCTTCTGTCCTTCTTGTTCATGCTTTTTTCTTTCAAAATACTCCGAAGGCTTGTCTTTTAATGCAGGGTGCTTGGTCTCCAAGTGGCGAAGCAGTTTTGAAGGCTTCATTGCCTCATTAGAGAGCCGGTTGCCGCATATTATGCAGAGCGGGCTTGGTGCGCGGGCATCACCTGTCGCGATAAATCCATATTTTAAGTAGGACTCCTGGTATTGTCTGTTAAATGCAGCTTTTTTTTTCTTGGAAGTCGTAGGCTCTTCTTCTGTCTCCTCACTGGGCCTTTTTCCCTTCGCAAAGAAACTTTCCAAAGATGTTTGTTTTTTACTCATTTTGCTAGTTTGTGGGTTTCCTTTTAGCGGCAACGGATTAGCGGCATAGACGGATGTAACAGAGGGAATCCGGTCAGTTTTCAAAATAAAACATTGTTCAAACTCAGATAATAAATAAAACGGAAATAATGTAAGTTATTTATTTTTTCTCTGCGGCCCGGTACCAAATGACCCACGGACCGGTACCGGTCCGCGGCCCGGGGTTTGGGGACCCCTGCATTAGACGACTCTGCTCCTCCCGACCGCAGATGTAGGTTTGAAAGCCATTTTTTCCGGCGTTCTTCGGTTAGCTTCTTAAATTGCTCAGCTTTATGGACGACAACCTTCGGCACTCGGTAAAACCTCTTGTTTTTCTCTCGGCCGGATCGATTGGAACAACCGTAAACTACACAACACACCGGCATTTTCACAATGGTAACAGCAGCTAGATCCTCTGTAGAAAATTACTTCCTGACCTCCAATGGAATTTCGCGCCAAAGGAACGCAACGGTGTGACGTCACGTGAAACCAAGCTATTGAAACATTGTAATCAATGTAATCGAATGGGGTTAGAACCGGAATTGAAGTATATTCAAGTGGCGTCCGGAGCTGTGATTGGTCCTCAGGAACTGCCGAAAAAAAGTACAGAAGAAGAGGTGTCGACAACCGCGAAAAGTAACAGTTGGTTACACAAAGCCAACCTCTGTGAGAGTCTCCAAAAGTAAGTTATTTAAATGAAATGTTTCTGCTCAATAAATGTTTGTACCCCTTTCCAATATAGTGCTGTGTTCGTTCGGTATCTTACAATTACGGGGACGTGTGTATGTACATGACACGATGTATTGCTAATGTTA